GCTACGTTACTAAAGGAGATCATGAGATGAATGAAAGAATATCTGTAGCCTCAAATATCTGCTGGAGTTTGAAATCAATTGTCAAGTAAAACTAGAATATAAAAAATCAGTGAACTTGCTAGTTACAGTTATTTTAAAATTCACTTTATGTCTGAATATAATGTAGCACCACAAATGCAAATAAAAATCCCAGGGGAGAATCTGGCTAATGGGGATAATACTAATTCAAATGTGGGACACTTTCATTTGAGGTAATAAAATTTTAAATTATGACAGTGCTTGGAGTATAGCAAGTTCTCAGTAAATAATTAACAAAAGACTAACTGAAAAATGGAACAATCTTGTGAAAACATTTTCCCTTCTGATAATTAAGAGACTGGTAACTTCGAGAAGAAATTACTTTTCTATTACAGTGCCAGTAATTTAAAATTATATATCTTATGAAGTAGTTAACATGAGTAGTGTCATTGATTCATAAATTTCTTTTTAAAAATATATTTTAATAGGTAACTTACATTATTTATCTCTATTATATATCTTATTCCCCAGGTTAGATGAAAAGAATTCAGTTACAAGTATAAAAATAGACAAAGCACAGTTCAGAAGTAAACAAAATTTCTCCGAAAGAATCAATAGCAAAAATAGGAACAGAACTTAGATTTCATATCTCTTTCTAGTCAACATTATACAAAATGTCATCCCCTCTTTCAGACTAAAAACAAAACAATAAACTGTAAGTAGACAGTAATATATCTAACATTTATTGACTGATTTGTATTTCCCTGGTACTGTGGTAAATGTTTTCAATACAAGCTCGCTTAATCCTTGCAAAACATTTATGATATATATTATTATTCTTCCTGTATGGAAGAGGAAATGTGGTTTATAGCAGTTTGAACATCTGTCTCATTTCATACAACTAACTACAATCAGAAAGGTGGGATTTCATCTTTTCATTTTCATCTCTGACATCAGTTTAACCTGCAAATTTCTCCATATTAAAGCATTATAGTCCTGATCCCTCCAGAGGTTGTATTATAGGTTATATGAGAAGAAATGAGTTGGAGATTTGGCTCCCGGATGACTTATGTACAGACTTGCTTCCATTTAAGATCTAGGTAAATGACTCCGCCATTCTTCCAGTTGTCCCAAAACATCAAGTGGGTTTCAACCTTGACTTTTCTCCCTCAGCCTTATTTCCCTGCATACAATCAATGATAATCTTGTCAGTGCAAATTCTTTAGTTTCCTCTGTCCACATATATCTCTATTTGCTGCCACCTTAATTGAGAGCACCACTGTTTCCTGTTCTATGGCAAAAGCTTCCTAGCTCATTTCCATCTATTTCATTTTGGCCTTTCTGAACATTCCCCACAAGTAACTGCAACGATTGGACTTTCTAAAACATGCATGTATGTTTGCATACAGTGAAGTACACTTGTCAATGTAAGATCTATATTTTACATGACACACAAAATCACTTTATGTTAGAAAATCTTATCATGATAAAATTGGTACAAAGCCATATGCATACACAGCTAAGATACCTGGATTTTTGTCCATACCATTTCTTCTGCTTGTAACACTCTCTACTTCTACCTTTCTCACCTGTCCTTCAAGTTCCAGTTAAGATATTTTGTCTTTGTTGATTACCCAAGATTACATGTGCTGCCCACTTGAAGTTATCTGTCACATTGTATTCTAACCATGGTTCACTATCTCCCTAGGACATTGGGAAAAACTTAAGGAAGATCCACAACATGTTCTCCTTCACAGACCTATACCCACCAGAGTACTAGGGAGACAGTAGGTATCAAGCACATTTGTGTAGTGAAGGAAAACAGATAGCAGAGAAACATGAAAAAAGCAAGGGGTAGATATAAAAAGATGAAGGATAAGTGGGGGAACAAGAAAAAAAAACAGAGAAAAAAGCAAAGAAGACGAAAAGGAAGAAAGAGAGGTGAGAATGAAAGGAGAGCAAAAAGCAAAAAGAGAGGAAGGAGTAGGGAAAGCAAGAAGGAAAATGCAAAAAGGAAAGGAAAATAGAAAAAGCATTAGAAATTACAGCAAAGCAGAGAACATCCTAGTTGAAATATCTGGGAGACCCCAGGCATGCTCAGAGCCTCAGTAACTGGCCAGACTTTGGAAATGCAGATAATCACCTGGCCCAGGAGTCCAGGTGTAAAAAAAAAATAATAATGTAAACTAAAAAGACTCTCAAACTTCCTCTTATAGCTGAAAAATCTGGGCTAAGGACAGGAGATGTAATCTGTTCAGCAAAAGAAGGTTAAGAGGCAAACACAGAATGGAATGATTTCAAACCCCAGTGTTCACACCAACCTTCCCAGTTACCCAAGGGAGTTAGTGATGACAGGAGCAGGCATGGAGCCTAAGGCACTTGGTTCCTGATTTGGGACTATGTACACTGCAATTCTGTGTATTTTTTTGTTTCTTCCTAACATGTTTAATGCAAAGAAATTCACTGTTCAGGCAGGTATGAATAAGGCAACAAAAATAATTTGTAATATTTTGAGTAAAATATAGTAATATAGAAATTAGTAAATATAGTAATATATTTTGAGTATTTATAGTAAGACAAATGAATACTTGAACTCCTTGTTACTCAATTTAATCTTCTAAGTAATAAAGAAATATGTAAGTATAGTAATATATTTTGAATATTTATAGTAAGGCAAATGAATACTTGAATTCCTTGTTACTCAACTTAATCTTCTAAGAAGCCCTGAGCTTATTTCCCTTATTCTGTGCTTTGGCCACAAGTTCTCTTGTTTGGAAAGGTCCTGCTGCCCATTTCTATTGTTGAAATCCTTTGCATCTTTTGAGGCTTTGTTCAAATTATCTTCTCTCTCCAAGATGCGCTTCAATGTCCTTGACAGGAAATAACCACTCTGTCTTCTCTGCCCTAGTGGACTTGGTTCATTTCTTCCTCAAATATAAATCAGCCTTTTGTTAGAGCTTCTTGGGTATATCTCCTCCTCACAAAATGGCCACTCGAGAAGGGTAAAAATTGTTCTTGCTGCATCTTTGCCTCCTCTGGCAGGATTAGTACAGTACTTTTCTATTTCACACATTTCATGTCTGTGTATGTTAAATTAAATAAAATCTATTTTCCAGCTCTCAAGCCTACATCACTCTAAAAAGCTCACAAAGCTAGAAATGCACAATAGTTGGGGGTCTCATGTATTTATTAAAGGGCTTTTTTCTTCATTGGACCACTTCTTTGGGAATATTTATAGCAAAACTAGTCAAGAAATAAGAACGAAGCTTAGAAATATTCAGCAAATCTTGACAAGGTTAGCAAGGATTTACTAAAGGTAAATAACCCAAACTGCTCATTCTAGTCGTTTTAACTAGAAGTATTCTTGCACAGAGCAAAGTTAAAGTGACTTGATGGTCTGAAATGAAAGCAAAAAGTCACTTTAAATTCTGGGGCTCCCAATCTCTCTCAACAGTGTTTGGCCCTTTGTAAGCTTCCATTTCTTATCAAGTAAAGTCTGCAATTCCAATAGCGTAAGGACAAAGATTTTCAAGTTGTTTTAGAAAGTATCTTAACAATGTTTATTGATGAGATGTTGCATATTGTAAAGACACAGTTTTAGGTGGGCTCAAATTCTAGCTATTTCTGTGGTAATCACTTAATACTGGCAGTCTAGACCTTGACAGGCTAGTGGAAGCAAACTGTTCTGAGCTGCACTTTTCCCTAAGTGCTGTTTAAAGGGCATTTTTTAAATTCACCACTTATGTACATGACCAAATAAAATGCATCGCTGGCCTCACATATAGCAAACATTCCTTACAGTCATTCAATCCTATCACAATTTTCAGAAATATAATTTTCTAGCACTGGAGAGGTATTTATAATGCCATTGATTTTGAAATGTCATGTAGAAATCAAAAGAACATCAAACATAAGAAAAGCACAGCAAAAATAATATACAGCAAAATACAAAGATTATTACTTTCTATTTCAAACTCCAAATTGAGAGACTAATAAATAAAACAAGAAGAAAAATATACAAACTTGCTCTCGGATATCCTTCTTAAACTTTGTAAAGATGACATTATAGCATTTATTAGGGTAAATTGTTCCCTTCAGGACAAACATCATAGAACATATTTGGTTTCAAGATATTCTTTATTTGAGTTCCCAATATATAATTCTTTTCCTTACCTAAACTCCCCTAAACCTTACAAATGAATAGCAACTGATTCCCAAGATTTGATTTTACTCAGTTCTACCTCTCTGAGATTCCTATAGCTACAAGGAAGGCTTTTAACCTGCAAAATTACTTTTCCCTAACTTTCTCTAGTGAGAAAAATGAAATCCTCAACAGTATTCACCCATCTCATGTATAATATACAACCAAAGTGTCTCAAGAACAACTCATTTTTAATAGCGAGGTTCTTACATCCATATTTGCCCATTATGGAACACAATGAACAAGCATTTCTCCTTGGAATCTTTTCTCCTTGTAAATTCCATAAGATAACATGTTTCCTTTACACACTAATTGTGTGTATGTATATGTATATGAATTGATGCCTTGATGCCTTGTGCTGAGTTACTAAATGTCTTCGAGCATTATCATTCTTTAAGAAAGTCTATCATGCTTCTCTTAGCAACTGGTCTTGAAAGAAAGGATGTTACTGGAACATTATTTGATTTGTATCTGTAGAAATGGAAGATGTGAATTTTTGAATGACTCAGTAGCAGGAATTATGTAATTCCCTTTGTGGGAATATACCCATTTAATTAAAGAGGAATTACTCAGTTAACTCACCTGTAAAATGGGATGGCAACAATACCTGTCTCCTAGGCTAGCCACAGGGTTAAGCGAGTAACACCTAGATTCACTAAGCAGTATGTAAGAAGTGAATCCATCCAGGATTCTATCACTACTCCTAATAAAAGAACTGAGGCATTGAGGCTTAGAAATTGAGGTGGGGTTGCGTCAGAAAAAGAACCTGCTGACTTCTTACCTCCAGAGAATCGTCGGCATTTACCATCCAACAGTCTGTCCAGGTGGCCACAACCAAGAAGCCAGTAGAAAAAAAGGCAAAGAAACAGGCGACATACTGAAGAAGATCCCTCATCTTAGCAAGCAGTCTGGAAGGAACACGTGGGCAGCAGAGGTCTCAGGCCGACTCAGGTATCTGGAATGCTTCTGTGCTTCTGGAATCTGGGGGTGCGGATTCTTTACTTTTCCCCACAATCCGCTGCAGGCGTCTTAAAATGCGGTAAGAGTCATAGGAATAGGCTATTACCCGCGAAGGGGTCCTGGAGGTCATTATCCAAAGCAACCAGCCTCCAATCAGAAGCCAGGGCAGGAAAAGGATTGAGTATATTTGGGTGGGGGAGAAAGGAGCCCCGCAACGTTTTCTGCCCTGACTGGGCTTATGTGAGATGATAGTCTCCGAGGCACATGTCCATCCCAGGATGGAGAGAAGGAAGAAGGGTGACTTCTCATGCTGACGCTATAAACCAATCTTTCTCAGGCCCTCCAGGGAAAGTGAGCTATTTGCCTCCCCCTCAGTAAGGAGCTGCATGGTTGACTGAGTGCTATTTTATGATTAGGACTATTTTAATATTCCCTGACTACCTTAGACAGACAGGCCACTGGTGAAACTATGCTAAACAAGTGCTCGCTCAAGGGAGTTTGCATTCCAAAGTGTTGGACAGAACAGCCTCATGAAGGATTTCCAGCACCTGGGCCCCAGCTAGAGCCAGGACACCTAACCTTTCGACACTGAAGAGGGGGGAAAGTGTGCATTTTAATCCGCACAACTCTGGGTATAAATCTTTGCTCTGAAACTTATAGGCTGAGGGCACTTGGGTTCTAGTTTTTGTAAAATATGGGTGTTAATATCTTCTTACTAAGATGTTTGTAAGAACTGGACTGTATTGCTTCTGTAAATCATTTAGAGTAGTGTCCAGGGGAAAAAAAAGCTAAGTGGTTAATATTAACGTCTAAGAATTCCTTAAGTAAAATTACTTTTCCCTCAAGGACCAATATTTGAAAATATGTCTGAAAAAAACCTATTTTTTTTTAAAGGATATTTATTTTCAAAAGGCTTTCCATATGGCTGGGGTAGTTGTCATTTTGCCTATAAGTAGTGTAGACTTGTTGTGCCTAAATATTCCATAACCAGTAGCTTTTAAAATTATTTAAAAGAAGATACATATCATCATATCATTACCAAAAAGACTTCTCTCTACTAAAATGCAAATTGCAACTGATAACAATAAAATGTATTTACAAAGTTTTTAATACAAGAGAGTAAAAAAGGTACAGAGAGAGGAGGGAAAGGATTAGAAATAGGTCATTACTCTGTGAAGCATCAGTGACTAAGATAGTTATTTTAGTAAGTTAATGAGAAATTTTTTTTGATTTAATAATGATTTGATTTCAGATACTCAGCCAAATCAATATAGATTTTTAAAATCCATCAAGAATATATTAAAATAAAAACTATTTGTGACTAGAATTTGTTATTGAATTTTAATTTGTGTGTAGTGAAAAAAATATAAAATGTGAATGAAAACATAAAAGCTGCATATAAAACTGTATGTGGAAAAGGAGTCCAATGATGTCATAAATAAGGGATATATATCTATATATATGTAATATATATGTGTGTGTGTATACACACACACACACACACATATAAGAGATATACACACACACTTGTATATAGTGTCTCCTTTGTGGGTTCTTTTTAACTTTACTTTTTTTTTTTTAAAGATTTATTTATTTATTCATACAGAGCTGGAGTACAGGCCAGAGATGTGGGAGGGTGAGAGGATTCACCAGAGACAGAGCGGGGAGCAGAACAGGCAGATCGATGAAGTACACTGCTAAGGGGAGCAGCGGGTGGGTCAGGAGAGGTCTGCTTCACCATGTGGATCTCCTCGGGGCAGGCAGGAATTGAACTCATGCGGAAGTGGCTTAAGCTTCTTAGTGCTGTGCTTTAACCCGCTGCGCCACCAGGGAGGGCCAACTTTACTTATTTTATGTGACTTAGCAATGGGGAATTTTTTAAATGTGCTCACTCAAAGAATGGAATTACCTATTAGTATCAGACAGCGGCGATGCATGCATGCTGCTTTGGTGAGTCACAGTGAATCTTTCCCTGTTCTCTAAAATCTAAAATACTCATGCTCTATTGACCTGGGAGAGGAAACCAATTCCAAAAACACATGCCCATTACAGGAAAAGTTCCAAACTTAACTGCTATTTTTCCACTCAGGGACCTTTCACAAAGTAATTTTCCTGCTAAAAGTGCACACCTGAGCAATGGTTCTTAAACGGGAATGCACACTAGTCTAGCCAAAGCCACCTGCTATAAATGCAGCTCTTGGAGCTCCACCCTCAGCTCTGCATTAAGGAAATGGGATGGGGTGCCATTAGTTCACATTTCAGATATATCTAATATAAAATTCTAATTCAGAAACAAGTGACTGTGCTTGGAGAAACTAGGAAGAAAAGTCAGCCTTGAAACCAGCATATTGTTTTTCAGCTTCTGCAGAAAAGTGGTGAGAAGTCAGGTTTAAGAATTACATTTTTGGTACAAAGCCTTTCCTAACCAGTACCAATGCAAATATCAGTACATGCATGCAGTATATGCAAATATCATAACTTTATAGAGGGGATTAAGGAAAGAAAACACAGAAACATTGAGCTCACATGCAAACACACACAGAGAAGTCTATCTCTGGAAAGCTGAGCTACTTCAACAAAAAATAGTAATTTAAATCACCCCAAGTTGTACTATTGCACATGTTTGAGGGTGGAGTCATTATAAAACTGTTCCTGAATCACAGTTCACTTCTTTTAGAGAAGAATATGAGTCAGTCATGCTGACATATTCATTTTTGTGGGTGGAGCCACAATGTGAAAAGTGACCCAAGAAAGGAGAACCCTAAAGAGTAACAGAGTAAAAGAACTGTGTGAGGAGGACCTGACTGCACTTCAAAGAAAGAGGTAAACTTGTGTGTAACTGTGAGGGTGAAAGTGTGCAGATGCAAATAAATCATCTACACAATTTCTGTAGCACTTCTGCTTTCTGTTCATGCTCCAATATTCAGCTTCAACAAGTCAGTCTTAGTTTAGTTCCTGTCCATGCAGCAAACATTTATAGACAGCCTACTCTGGCTCCCATACTATGTTGAGTTCCACAACAGAGAGAAAACAGAAGATGGAAAACATAGTGGCTCTTCTTGAGAAGCTGCTGTGAGTGAGCCAGAGGCAGGCACTTGATAGGAAGGGAAGAGTTCTGTTTGCATGACCTTAAGTGATACCACTTCTAATATCTGTGCATGAGCACCTTACTTAGAAATATGCAAGGGTCCCAAAGCAGTATGAACACATTTTGCCCTGGTGGCACAATGGGTTAAAGCACAGCACCATGAAGCTATTGCAGCCACTGCAGCACAAGTTCAATCCCTGGCTTGAGGGGGGTGACACACATGGCATGGCAGACCTCTCCTAACCTACCCACTGCTCCCTTTAGCAGTGTATTTCAGTCAATCTGCCTGTTCTGCATGCATAAATAAATAAAATAATCACAGAGGACAATTACTGTTCAGTGTACAGCTCAATAGTGTTTGCAAACATTTCCAAGTTCATTATCTCATCTAAGCTCTCTGAAGACAAGACAGATTTGTTATGTGCACCAATGAATCCCAAGCACCTGCGTTCCAACAGGCATATCAGAGGCTCTCAATACATATGTTGATTTTAGCTGAGTCCACAGTCTCCACATTTTATAAAAGAGGAGGTCACAGTGGCCTTGCTTTTTTTTTTTTTTTTTTTCAGCCATTCACGATCCTCCATGGTTGACACTAGGCTGATGTGATTTGCTCTGTGCAATTTCCTATCTGTTGTGCATGATCCCTAAGACAATCATTGCAGTCCATTCATGGACACTGTGCTCCATCCTGCCCAGGACAAGCCCTGTTTCTCGCTGAAGCTTTAGAGCCACCTGGTGATGAGGAGATGGGTGTCCTCAACCTGACCCAGGAGATGAGGATGTTGTCCTGTGAAAGGATTTAATCAAAAACTGGAAAAACTGCCTTCGGCCTGTAGGTGGCAGCAGCTCTGCATTTTCAGTTGGGCACAGCTGCAGGCTGTTTTTGTTCTGTTTCTGTAAAAGTCACAAACTGTTTCCTTTATATTCATTACAATATTACAAGTACTTAGAAGGAATAAGCTGATTTATACCACATCTTATGAATGATTTTCTCCCTTTTAATTTCTCAGTGCTTATTGGAAAAATCTACACAATAAAATTAAACTGCTGCTGTCAAAGGCCATACTGGCTATTACTGACAGCCAAATAAATCCGTGGTTAAAAGCTTTGACCTCAGAATCAGACTAACCTGAGTTCACGTAAATCAACCTAACATATTGAGATCTTGAGCAAGCTACATAATACTTTACGTGATAAAAGGAGAATTATGTATTGTCTGTGATGGCTGTAAAGGTCTTGTAGCATCTGGAATGTAATAAACAATCAATAATAAGTTCTCATTATTTTTATGTTATGATGCTTTTCTAAATGTGGGCTCTGTACACACGTGTTATGTATACATATATGTGTAAATGTACATAGACATTTGTGTATTGTGTGTGTCTATAATATATGTATGCACACATAAAACTTACTGTAAAAATATACGGGAAATAGGCCCTCCTGGGTGGTGCAGTGGGTTAAAGCACAGCACTAAGAAGCTTAGGCTACTTCTGCATGAGTTCGATCCCCGCTTGCCCCGAGGAGATCCACATGGCGGCCAGACCTCTCCTGACCCGCCCCTGCTCCCCTCAGCAGTGTACTTCATTCATCTGCCTGTTCTGCTCCCCGCTCTGTCTCTGTGAATCCTCTCACCCTCTGCATCTCTGGCCTGTACCCCAGTTCTGTATCAATAAATATATATACTGGAAATAAAAGATCTAATTGACAGAGGACAAGAATACAAAAACTGGAAAAGAGAGGCCACAAGACCAGAAACCTGGCTCACATTAAGGCAAGAGCTCCAGGTGGGGTTAACGGCATTAACACAGCCATTAACCCAGCCCTAAACTAAGCTCCTCAGGCAACAG